AAAACATGGAGGTTGTAGGAGGAGGTTTGGGTAGTGCTGACATGCTAGTAAAAAATGTGGGTAGTGCCAAGACAGTTGATTCTGTAGTCGAGGACTGTAACAGGTCACAAATTGGGGAATTTTCCAGCTGTAATGTCAAAAATAATGTTGGGATGGTCGTTGAGACTGCCACATGCAAAAATGACAACTTGCCAGGTGATAAGGAAAGTAACAATGCTGTGGAGTCTGGAGGGCAGGCTGGAGACAGCAATGTTCCTCACACTAGTTTGGGTAAAAGAGCTATCTTTGTTTTTTGCAGTGTCTCATGTTCTGAACTTTTACCTTGACAAAGAAAAAAATAGTGTCTTCTTTTCTGGTCTTTCTATGATTTTTGCTTCTGTACCCATTAATTAAGAGAAATTGTCATATCAACCTTGAACATTTTATGATATTGAATGGTGTTTTCCCAGATGCATATAACATCATACTATATGTGAAGCATGATATGTGTCCTGGTATGTTAACATATATAATACACTGTAAAGGTTCTTACCCATTTCCTACTTTCATGTTATTTTGACTGTCTAGCAATTGATGTAAAAAAAGTAGTTACTGATATTTTATCTGGTCTACTTCTAGAGGGTTCAGAGGTTAGTTCTTAGTCTGAAAAATATTGGTAAGCTTTTTATCTGCTGTTCTACAGGAAGGAATCCAGAACAAGAATCACTGCACAACTCGATGGAGTTCGATCCGATCAGGCAGCACAAACTTTTTTGTCCGTGGATTGCATCCATTGGTAATTCTGCTCCTGGATGGAAACAAACTCTGTCTGCTTTACAACGCCATAAAGAATTCTCGGAGTCCTTTGCTGAAAATCCACCATCTTCCTTAATTGAGGTAAATGACGAAGTGATACAATAGCAGCAGTAATTACAATATGCATGCCAAAATTAGAGAGTATAGTTCGCATTTGGTGTTTATCGTGGTCTGCAATTTTGGTTTACTGGTACATGTATTTTTCTGGTTGGTACTCTTCAATCTGCTGTAGCTAAACAAGCATCTTGAATTATGCTCCTAATCATAGAATTTTATGCTACTTGGTTCACCTTGTACAGTATATGAGTATGCATAACACTTGGAATAGTTAGTTACTATCATTTCAATGTTGTGATCCAAGATAATAAGAGCATCACGTACAGCATCTGTATCAATTTGCTTCTTAGTTGCTGCACCCAGTTTTCATCTTAGTCTCAAATGACTCAGCCTAGAATGTAAAATTTTACCTAAACCCATTTGAGATACGGTTCCAAACTGAAATGCTTGTTGGGTGAATTCTTTGTCTTGTAGCCGCAGTCTTAGCCTATTTAATTTTCTCTGTCTACTTGGCTTCCTCCTTTGTAAATGTATAAGTGTCAAATGCATTCTTATGTCCTCTCTTTGATATAGGTGGATGATCCAATTGCTTCAATCAGAAAGCTTTTCAGTTCCCCACCTGTAAAAAGAACGAAGCATACTCATGCGAGCTAGTGCCTGGGATAGTGTTGACTTTGTAGCATGTCAAATGATTGTGAGATTGCAGAGCTAATCAGGAAAGCACACTTACGTATGCATACTTAGCTTTTCTAGTTTTTCTTGCCTACTTGAATTTAAAGATTTCCTTTTAAGGATGAGTGTAATAGCTTTTCATTATTTTCAGCTTGTTGCGATTGCAGCTGTACTGTCCATGTATGCATAACTCCAATTTATGACAGCACAAAAATTTACTGAGAATCATCAATGTGAAAGAATTTCCCCGCACAATCTTGTCCTCTATTACAAAATGGAAATAAGTGATCTATAGGGGCTTCATTCATTTTATCAACCCACAATTGGTAATCAACACCTTTGAGTATGGTCGATTAAAGCCTCTCTCTGCTACAACAGCCCTTTTGTCTCCTATCAACTTTGCTACCCTGGTGGGCAATTCATAAAGAAGAAATGTTAATTTCAAATTGTATCTAGGAAAATGATCATTTGCTGTATGTTATTTGTCCTATTGTGTGTGCATAGAGTTGCTCATCTATGTAATGTCATGTTGGTATTGTTAGGCAGAGAGAGTACAACAGGTACCTGAAATAGGGAGAACTGGTATTCTCCTGTACTGTCTTCACTTGGCTAATCTTCTCAACAACGTCCATTCCTTCCAATACTCTTCCAATCACTAATGTTGATGCATCTAGTTCAGGCGAGTCTTTAATAGCAATGACAAATTCTGTCCCATTAGGATCCGCTCCCACCTTTTCTTGATCAATCTCTAGCTTCCCTTTGCGTGCAATCAATTTCAACTTGGGTGGTGGTTTTGAAGGATCCCTCACTACAATGCCAATGCTTTTGGCCAAATTCTTTGTCCCTGGACAAGCCGCATACTGCTTCTCCCATTCATCTGTGAGTCTGTCAGCAGCCAAATTGCTTCCAGCCTTCCTCGCAAGCTCAGCATCAACACCATATGATCTCACTCCACTATGTTGGACATAGTTTGGCGTGATCTTAACAAATTCTTTTCTTCTATAACTAATGCCCGCTGCACCACTGACAAGATCACTGAATCGGGCTGTACCAAATGGAACACTATCACTGTATAGCCCGATCACAATTCTACCAAGAGGCACGCCATCAATTGACACTTCAAGAAATGCCCTCTGGGTTGGATTTTGTTCTCCACAGGGATCTGCAGTTTTCTTTGAATCGTCTTCTGGGGCAAGTTGTTCAGTTTTTTGAGGATCATCCTCACTTTCGACTGGTTGTTCGGTGTTTCGAGGAGCAACCTCACTTTCCACAAGTTCAGTGTTCCTAGGAACTTCATTTTCCTCACTTTCCACAAGTTGTTCAGTTTCTTTACTTGTATCCTCAATTTCCTCCGCTCTTGCTCTTGAATGGTGCAATGGCTCCACCGTCTGTGAGCCTAAGAGTAATAGCAAAGATGAGTTGGTACAAATTGCAAGTTCTCTGCGTGAGACTTTACAGCATTGCTTGATACTTGTGGTTTGAGTTTGCGAAGGAGGTAGTGCTGGGGGTTGAAGTAACTGGGGTGAGTACTGCATCAGTTTCTGACTTGACCACATTTGATTCGGTTGTATTCTAGCTCTGTTTCTGCTGGTGTTTCTCCAATAACTTTCATAAATCATGATATGTCTGTTTTCTCCTCCATAGAGACTGATTTTGTGGATAAGGAAAGGAGAAACCAAGCCATAAGCCAGGAAAGTTGATCGCTTCGAATTCAGTATCGTCAGGTCAGCAAGCTCTTTCCTATTGGGCCATCTAGTTTTGCCGACTTTTCTGAACTCGGAAGCAATAGACCACCAGAATGTGGCCCAATTAAAGGAAATCAAGTTTTTGCTTAATGAAAATTACATGAGGACTTTCAAATTTGCAGTGGGATAATTACTGCTATTGCCACTTCAGCTATTGCTAATGATAGTCCATTTTGTTAAAGTGATTTTGCAAAAATTGCAGAGTAAATGGAGTGCCATTCACAATAACTGAAGCACATGACAAGTGATATTGTTGCTTGTCCCTTTTAGGATAATAACGCGATCTGCTCAGGAAAAAAAAAAACTAATAAAGCCAAATATAAGTTGCAAAAAACTTTATTAACGATTTTTGCATTCATTGAATAAAAATTAAGTTCTACCTGCTGTAATACATGTAACACGCGGTTCTTAAAGAACCAGGGGGTTGCTGCAGATATTTTATATGTACTGTTTTTGATGGCATCATAGTCTAACTGGTTCCTACTTTTTAGTCCAAACTCGAGGTCGTGATGAACCCGTAAATTTAAGGATCCATCGGATAACTTTCTTTCTTCTTTGGACTTGAGCCATACCAAGTTTTTTTTTTTTGACAATAAAAAATTTGAATGAATTCAGCTTCGATTATCATCACGAGTCAAAGCAGGTTTATGATATCATAAATCGCTTACAAGAGTTCTTACGACTCGCTTATCAGTTCAATTCTTACATCGACAGTAAGATTTAATAAGTCTTTCTATTGATTAAGGCAAAACTAGATTTTTGCCAAGAAAAAAGAAAAGAAAAAGAAAAGCAAAAATAGCTGAATTTCGCAAGTGCAAAGACTGACGCTGAACAGAGCAGTCCAAAGTCGCGGAATATTTGACACACAATGCAACACAGCCCACAATCATCACAGAAAAGCCGGGTCATTGAGTTTAACACTCACTGTAAAATAGCCCAAAAAAATTTGGACCAAAATCAGCAGGAGAAAGCCCAAAAAAATTGGACCATTTCTCGATTTGTGCGTGTCATCCTTGCGCAGGAGCCATGCTAATCTTCTCTGTATCGTTCCAATTTTATCGAATGTCCCCGAAGGGACGTTGGTTGCTGCCCGAAGAGCAAATATAACGTGCTTGGCTTTTCTGCTCGCAGGCGATGTGGGAATTGAGTGCAATTATAGAACACGAATGCCATTAAAGCTGGCTCGAAAAACTGAACACCTGAATTCCAAATACTTGTGCGCTTGCCTATCGTCCATTCATGAAACTAGAACTCAAACTTCATTTGGATCTGATTATTAGAATCCAGTCTACTATCGAGCTAAAATATGACAATGAATTGATATCACAAGAAGATTACTCCATTGCCAGGTATACTGCTAAATAAGAGTCTCCATCTCCCCAACAATGTGTAGCACATAACACACAAGGAACAGCAAGTACAGCAGAAAGAATGGCTCCCCCTTCGTAAATTAGTTCCAGACATCATTGCTTTCTTCTACCATTCTAATGTCTCTACCACATTCACCACTTCTCTCCCTCCTGGAAGTAAAACCAACAGATTATTGCAAGAATATACCTATTGATTTGCGGAATAACACAGTTAAACGATCTATGAGCATAACAAATACCAGCATCAATAAATGAGAGAGCATAGAAGTACTTTTCCAACTAACAAGTAAACTGGCTATCAAACGCAACCAGAAGCAATACTGGGAATATATTCTCCCAGTAACAACCACGGACTACTTCAGCAAGGGACATCAAGATTAGCAAGACAAATAGTACAATTTCTTAATCAGACTTGATCTGGCCATCCCAAATCTCCTCCCTAAGCAATGCTCAAACATAATTACAAGAGTGTTTTAAAATACTCTCTCAAAGAGCCTCCCATTGCTTTCACACTTGATTCGCTTTAATAATAGCCAACACTTCTCAGATCTCCTTGTGATGGTTTCTGGTTATCACTTCCTTGTCCCAAAAACACCAGCCGACCTACAAGACCCACATAACCAGAGTTCACCATATTATCAGTGTTTCACCATTTTTTTTTTGGGTACTAAATGAAACTTCCAAAAATTCATTGACAGAACAAGCTTTATACATGTAACTTTATAGGAATAGATCAATTGAAAAGCAAAATTGGAGTGCTCCATTTGTATCTGTTAACAGATACTGTATATCCTATTCATTAAGCAGTCATGCAAACAGTCTAGTCAGGTTTTCAAGTGACCAAATGCTTTCATATTTTGGCATCAGAAGAGATGAGACACCATAGACTAACATACATAAAATTTCTTTCAAACATCCTTAAAAAAAAAATCACCGAGCGGCAAATAGCTGAAAAAACAGCATCAATATAAGTACAGAAATATGTAGTTTACCAACATGAAATCAGAAAATAAAACAGATTGAATTGATACTGTACCTTCAATAAACATAGTTTCTTGTTTCTGGAGACAAGCACTATAACTAACAACAGTGCAATTATGATAGTATGTGGGAACACGGTGATAAACTTACCATTTCGGCGTATTGCAATCTCTCGTATACGTCGAACTAGACCAGTTATCGGATCATTAAATATCTTAGTCTCCAGATTTCCTTCCACGTACAAGACTGATCTGTGAGGTGATGCAAACATCAATAACATTAAGGATATAACCATAACTCAAAAGAAAGTGAGCAATTGATTGATGCACTAACACGTGGGAGCAAGGGATGCTCATGGTTGTTAAGTGAAGAACAGTGCATGCTGATGAGTATAAGTGCAGGGCGAATCGTGCTCAAAGCTAACTCAGTAGAAAGAAACAGAGAGAGAGAGAGAGAGAGCAGAGAAAAACAGCCAAGGTAAATCTCCATAGGCTACAATCTTTAATAAATCAACTATGATGAGAAAGTAGACTGATTAAACATAGTAACAATGCCCAAGGACCACCAGTTCGTATCAATAAAAATAGTAACAACTAAAGGGGTAAGACTTACGGAGCAGGATTTGTTGTACAAACACCAACAAATTGAATAAAAAAAAAGGTGAAATTCTCGAACCACAACATAAACCATCTAATTTGGTGGTCTGCCAAGTAATCTACAAAACTGACTCACTTTAGTATTAAATTCCCAATTATGAGCTGTCGTTTCTCAGAAACCAGCAGAACACTGGACATAATCCAAGTTTCATTAATTTGGATTCTAAGTTTCTTTTCACCTCTTTCAATTGAATTAAAAGTTCATGTTAGTATACATAGGAGTTTGACATGTTATATGCAATAACTTTTAGAATTTCAACACTTAATAGCCATAACCTTTGCAAAATGTCAATCACAGAAGCCTAAATAAATCCAAACAGGCTCACCCTGGTACAGCATGCTTCACAGTTAGCGCTCCTAACCTCTCAGGGTAAACTGCAACCCGGTGCCATTGAACTGCACACCTATCTGCAAATTCTCTAGGCTCCTCATTATCAAATGGCCTCCTACTGTTCCGAATCCCACCTGTCCCAAGCGACAGCAGAGTGACTGCCCTCTCATTCCTTAACTTCTTCTGAAGAGGAGAGAGTGACAGCAGAGTTACCGTATTGATAGGGGAAGGGTTGAGTTTGATGATAAAATAAGAGAGATTATCAGTAGAGGCGTCCATTGCCAGTAATGGAAAATTTGATTAAAAAAATTCCAGTAATTAAGGAATCGATTGTTTAAAACCAATAATATTCGATTACCTTCCAAACTTTAGTTTGGTGAATTGGATTGAAAAATCAGTAATTCGGTAATATCCAAAATTAAAAATGTCAATAGTGAATTTAAATATTTTAATTTTTTTCAAAAAAATTGTTGTAACAAAATAATATCTCATATGTTTTTAATAAAATTCAATCAACTTAATTCAAATAAAAATGATATGCAAAAAAAAAAAAAAGTTCATAATCCTAAGCCCTAACTCATAATCTCAATTCTTAAACAACATTGAAATAAACAAGAATTCTAAATTTAATTGTCAAACTAAACTCCAACACGCTAACTTCCATCAAAATTTGACTTCCAAGTGTAATTATAATTAAGTTAGCTAATTAGTAATTACAAATTAGTATTTAGTAATAGGATTAAGATTTAATCTTATATTTAGTAATAAAAAATGTACTAATTTGGTTGGTAATCGGTAATATATTTTTAATATCCATTCTTGAACGATTTTATCGAATATTATATTTTGATTTTTCCGAATTCCATTGTTTTGAAATTTGATCTAAATTGGATCAGCTGATTTTTCAATTTTTTTTCCCGAAATATGAACACTTGTAATTATAAGTAAGAGGTCTGAATTCAAGACCTCCCACTTACCCAAAAAAAAAAAAAAAAGTTACTATATTGACACCTATTATTTCTTAACTTTTTTAAAGTTAAATATTCAAGTAAGTTATTTCAGATTTATAATTCACATGTCAAAACAATATACGAGTATGAGTATAGTATTCCAAGTAAATTTTAAAAAAATTTCTTCTTCTTGCTATACAACATTGGGAAAGGCGGTATATGTCCTCATGATGTGAAGATTCAAAACAAATGGATTGAAATTTAAATTAATTGAAGGGACGGTCAAAGCAAAATATGAGTATAGTATTCCAAGTAAATTAAAAAAAATTTCTTCATGCTACACAACATCGGGAAAGACGGGCATATGTCCACATGATGTAAATGCTCAAATCAAATGGGTTGAAGACTAAATTGATTGAAGGGATGTATGTTGAATTGATATAGTCGTTATAGGGCTAGCTACCCCTTTCTTGCTTAATCTTTCTAGTTTGTTGAACTTCAATTATTTGCTAAAGACTTTTTTTTTTCTTCTCTTATCAAGTGCTTAACTTTAGTAGGGGAAAGGATACAGAAGCCTGTATAAACCAAGGGATTCGTGAATCATCATTGTAACAAATTGTTAGCAGTAGACTTCAACATTGCGTAATCTTTTGTTTCCTACATATTCAAAATGTTAGAATTATTTGCCTTAAAATCAACCTTTTATATTTTGTTTTCATTATGTATCAGCTTTTATGTTATCTAACACATTTAAAACATTTACAGTATTATACAAAATTGCTTCTCAGAACTTTGAATTTTTACTTTCAAAAGCCCCCGCGCACAATAGTTTATTGACATGTGTTTTCACGAAAAAAAAATGGGGAGGAAATGGAATATGGTGGAAACAAAGCTGTAGAAATGGAATGTGAAAGGTGAAAATTACACTCGGCTTGAGATGATGGAGTAATTTGAGGCAGCCAAGGCATGGTTTATTCTACGAAACCTATGAATCCCAGTTTGTACCAGGTGACTTCGGGTGATACTGGTCTGAGTTTTTGCAAAGCAGACTTGACTGTATGCACCCCACCCCCGAGTTGCTAGGTGTCCGTACAGTAGCATCTTTTTCATTTGGGTTAAGGATTAGTTCACAAGGAGTAAGCTGCTGAAATCTTCTAACTTCTGCGTTAAACTTTCTCCCACAAGGCCATTTCCACTCCCCACCATTAAAACTTTTTGCCATAGGGTCCAATTTTGACAGATTGAATCCAGTAAGCAAGTTCTCAGAAAAGTGCAAGTATAATGGATGCCATTGGCCATAACAGAAGTTGGTATCTTGACCATTTCCAACCATCTCAGCTTTAAAAGTTTTCCCCAACTCCATGAGCAGTCTGCTGGGATTTTAGCCCCCCCCCCCCCCCCCCAAAAGGATGAGGATTTAAGCTGAATTATGTGTACCCACTTCACCCATAATGTAAAGTTGTGGGAGAGTATCTCAAAGAGCAAAGAAGTTGGCTTATCATAATGGGAAGATGTATTGTGTTGCTTCTCTTCTGACAGGAATAGTTGGAGTGGCGGCTTGCAACTCCGCTCCTCCATTTCTGGTGCTATTTTGAATTTTTCTTGATTTTTATTCATCTGACAATCCAACAACAATTGATTTTTTTTTTAGTGTTCACAATTCTTTTCGACTCACGATCCTTTCAGTACCTGATGCTCATTACTAGTGAAGTAATAGTTAATCTCATTATGCCATCAATTCTTGTTTCATCTGCAGAAGATGAATGCCTGATTCTCTCCCCCCCCCCCCCCCTCCTCCTCCTCCTCCTCCTCCTCCTCCTCCTCCTCCTCCTTTAATCGAGTTTGTTATAATTTTGGAATGGTTTCTAAGATAAAAAGGGAAACAATGAACAAGAATATTAAAATACGCTAAAAAACACTTAATCCATACGGACGGAGCTAAAGTAATATTTTAGCACATTCCTGTTTCTGCTGTTCTTGCCTGTTGTAAGGACGTAGTTGCAAACTGGAGAAGGATACCTTTAAGTAGGCAAAATTGGGATTTCGTTGGATGTGTTCCTCCCTTGCTGATGATTTGTTGGGAACAACACTAATGCTAGCTACTGATGTAATTGGAACGAGTACATTCCTTTGAGTGCACCGTCGTTGCTGATCAATGAAATTCTCAATGTAAAGGAATCTTAAATTAGTAGTGAATGGCTTTCAGAGTAAAACACAAACATTTTTCGTGTTATTGGAGGGAACCAAAATGAAATGACTCAAAAAATTTGCTCGCTCCTCACTCCTTAGCTGCATGCTTATAATCTCAAATGAGTAAAAGTTTCAAGAATAGTATCCTAACTGTATATTGAAATTGCAGATCCCTAAGAAGAGAGCGAGCGAGCGAGAGAATCAGAGTAGATTATAGGGCAGGGTTTGGATTTGGGACAACGACGAAGACTATGGATTACCTGAAGAAGAAGCTGTAAGTTCGTGTAGGCGAATTCATTCTCTAGCCGTAAATTATGAAGCTTCGATGTGGTCTATTTCTCTTAGTTGATTTCTTATTTTGGTTTATTACTTGATTGAGCCTGGATCCTACTTTTTCTTTTATTTTTGTTTTTGTTGTCTTGCAGCCTGCATGATTTGCCTGTCTTTATCATCCGTAGACGTAAGTTCGTCTTCCACCTCCCTCTCCCTCTTCAGCTCACGTCTTATTGTTGTTCAAACATTGATACCGTTAGTATCACTTAGCACAGAGTAGGCAAGTGATTTTTTTTTTCTTTTGGATTTTTGCCCCTCACTTTTTCTTATTTCTGTATAAATCAAACAGCTGTTCTTGCTGGTATTTCGATGGCAGCTGGATGGATGTTACCCGGTATCATTGACAAGTACATTTCCGGGTTGGTTTTTCTGTGCTTTGCCCCATTTTTTTGTTTTCAGAAATTGTTAGTATGCGAAAGACTCGATTTCGCTTCTGCATTCTGTGTAAATAAGCATAGAAGAATTGAAAACTTCTGTGTGGGGGCACTCTCTTCTTCTGTATCATTTAGCTTATGCTAGGTGGCTGCTGCTGCTGTTGTTGTTATGTTTTCTTTTCAGAGCAGTATGCATTGCTTGTGAACCAGTTGACCATGTCTATGTGTACGTTTTTCTTTTATGTATGTATGTGCAAGAGGATGGTTGTGGCAGTGATAAATTTGTTTCTTTGTTAGGGCATTACATTGCATCTGATTGAGGAGCTATGATTATATATCTTTTTCAGTTGTTTTTTCCTTCTTTTTACCTTTGGAGTTAGCATGTAGTTTTAAGCTCTGGACAATTATCTATTGGACACATGGTAATGGTAATAGTTCTAATGATGCTTTTCTTGATGGCACAGAATAAAATATGAAGCGCAGCTGGAGATGATTCATAAAATAAGGTATTTTTTCATGCATCTGAGAAAACCAGAAAAATCTGGACTAGTGCCCTTAACTTGTACTATTTTGTTTACTATTTTAGAGTGTTGCTTGGCATCGTTATGCTTCTTATGGCAATGTTTGTCGTTTGATGTGCTACCCTTAGAGGTGGATGGGTGGTTTAGTGCTACCCTTAGAGGTGATTATTCCATTTCTATCTCTTTGAATTTCTTTAATTGCGACAAGATGCAGTTGTGCAGCTTCATGGCAAAAAAGATTCAAATTCAGTTGGAGACTACTCAAGCTGTGATAACTAGTTCATAATTAATTACGTCTCAATAGAATAGAATAGAATTTGGACTATATGAACTGTGAAAGAGTGATTAACAACACTAATTGAGTTATAAAAGTTGAACCATTTGAGCTAGGCATTCAGGAAGCTAGCTATAGGTGCGCTTATGGCTGTTGATTTAGTTGTAGATGTTGTATCGTACTTACGTACATTTAAACATTATGATTATTTTATTCTTTATAATAAGGTTAATCACTCACATTTGCAATAATGTTCTTTGTGACAGCCCCACCTCCCCCTAAGGCGAACCAGAGGGTTCGGCGGACCGCCTGCCCAGCTCTCGCCGGGACTCAAAATTCAAAACAATAAAACTAGATAAACCCACAAGCGTACTATTCACAATATATCTAACGCCAAAAGAGTTCTAATTACATTTTCAAAATATCACTCTAATATACTATAACCACAACCAGCAGAAGATAGACCCTAAGGAGGGTTCTTATACAAACCACCAAAACAAAAACAAAAAAATATCCCAACTGTCCGACTGTTACAATCAAACCTAACTATGCTAGTGTATGTGCCAAAAGTCCCCGCGTCGGCCCCTGCTAAGGAAAACAAAAGGAAAGGGGTAAGCTATATGCTTGGTAAGTAAAC